TTTGCTGGCGAAGGTGGCGGGCTTGCTTGCGTAATCCCTCTGTACACGGGATATTTGCGTTTGCATGTGGTAGCGATATTTGGAGCACCGGGGAAGCTGTAGTCTACTCTTGTCGTGCGCCCGTCATCGCCGGGCTGCAGCAATATTTCTCGTAAGCCGTGTAGCCAAGAGGCGACCGGTATGCGCAGCAAGCACCACTGCACATCAATCGACCCCGTTCCAGGAAATATCACACCGCAAACATCAGAGTCTGGTGGGGCTACCATGCGGTCAAACACGCTATTTAGCAGCACTGCCGATCCATAAGGTCAGCTCGCAACATCCTCGTTCGGCGTTGGGCGGCCGACAAAGGAATACAACCAGCTTCGCTTCCCGTCCCCTCCCCCTCACCCTCGCTGTGTTTTTTTATCCGCTCGCGGACCGCATTGTGGGTTTCCTGCGAATCCGGCCCGATGCCATAATTTCGGTACAGGTCTACCTCTGCACGGAAGGACGCATCCTGGCCCACGCAGACGTGGACATGTCTCTGCTGCTACCGAGAGAGCAGTGGCAGGGCCGCAGCACGTGCGAGTTCGGCAGCACAGGGATGGAGGGAGACTTCCAACTCCACCTCCCCGGCGAGCCCCTGGCGGCACCGCAGAAGCGAGACAAGGAAGACGGTGAGGGGGGGGAGGAAGAGTCACAGAGCCCCCCGGTTGTCTCCATCTGCGCCGAGCTGACGAGGGCTGATTCCGAACCTGGACCCGGCGATGAGCCTGTTGGGAACCCCGATGCCGACGGGCTGTGGGCAGCGACGGCGGCAGCGGTGGCCACGGGCAGGACCGAGGGCTCAGCCAGCGCGAGCGGCGTGAGGACATGGTCCCGCCTTGCGGTGGCTGGGAGGAGAGTTGGGCGGGCTGTAGCCATCACGGCGGCGCTGCAGCGGCTAGAGCTCAGGCCGGTTGATCACCCAGGCAGCGGAGGCGGTTTGGCGCTGAGCAACCGCGTCAATGGCGGCGGCGGCGTTCTAGTGGGAATCACTGACGCCACGGGAGAGTTGTTGCTGTCTGGAAAGGCCGGCGGTGCGGCCACGGCAACCGATGCAATCGCGGGAGTGGCTCACCCTAACCCTTCCGCCTCCCTCCGGGAAGGCTTCCGAGTGGTCAGCTGCGGCGAGCGGGGGGAGGTAGACACTGAAGACAGCGACTTCCTGGAGACCATCACCTGGGAGTGGGAAGGGGAGCCGCCGAACCCTGAAAGGGAGGGGGGCGTCGGTGGGGTCCTTGCTGCCGTCCGGGTGCTCGGCGGCTCTGGAGTCCGATACGGTGACGTCACGATCGCGACGGGCGTGGTGCCGTGGCCCTCCTCGGCCTGCGGCGGTCGGCAGCACGTCAACGTCAAGCTCGTGTCCCCCGAAGGGAACGAGGTGGGCTCGTGCCGCGTCTGCTTGTCGTTGACCGAAACAGACGACGGCAACGGCAGCGACGGCCCAGCCGGGGAGGGGGCCGAAGGCGGTGCGGTTTTCAAACAGGAGAGCGAGCAGTTGGAAGACGAGGAGGAGGAGAAAAGAGAAAACAGCTTCGGCCTTGAAGGGGCAAGGGGGGATAGGTCAGGGGTTCGGGGGGGTGCCGCGGTTAGGACAACGGGGGTGCAGGCGGAGGAGCCGCCAGTGGTCGGGAGTGGGGTAGTGGCGGGGGCCACGGTGCCGCGCAGTTATCGGATGTCCATCAACCTGGCATCGGTCAAGGACCTCGAGAACGCGGCTTACGTAGTAAGTTACGAATGTTCATCTCCACAATGCGATTGTGTTTGTGTTTTTGCTCCTTGGGCTTTGGGAGGTGTTTCAACGACGTACGAACTTCGACGGACTGACGATCACCCAAAAACATCTGTAGCAAGTGCCGGATGCCTTGCGGGCCACCTGAAAACCGCTTGACGAATTTCTCCAGATCGTCGAGACGTACCCCATCTATATCGGTGGCACTGCTTTCCGCAACGCGGCCCGCGTGCTAACCGTACCCTCCCTACTAGCTCCCGTCTTTGAGTCTAGGAGGTGTTGTGTTGCCCAATGTGCACCTTGCAGGTGGCCTGCTACCACTACCCCTACTTCGGGACTTCGGCTCCGGTGCGGACCTCTCTGGTGTGGGCGGCTCCCCGGATGGACACGCCTCTCTCGAACTCGTGCTGCACATTCTCCTTCGGGATGAGCTTCGACCGACTCGCTGCTACCGTGGAGGACAGAAGTCTGGTGAGCCTGTTTGTCTGTCCTTTCGTCTGTCTGTCTGTTCTTCCGTCGAGACGAAAGCGTGAACAAGCGCCGGTACCACGGGTTTCGCCCCAACCGGGTATTTGAGATTACGGCTCCATGCCGTTCCAGTTCCGACGCACCATTCCGTACCAGTTTCAACGCACCACCCCCTCCCCCAACGCACTGTAGTACCGAAATTCACACAAGAAAACTCCCACGGTGATAAAACGTTTTCGACCCTTGCATCACTGATGCATTGTTTTCTGTTTTTCTGCCGTTGCCAGTAGGCGTTTTCGATACAACACCTATCGCACCAATCCTGGTTGTCGCCATGGGAATATCGATTCCAGATCTCATGACCGGATGCCCTGATTGATCGAGTCTACGCACTCCCTGTGTGAGGGCCACCATGCGTTTCCGTCAGAGACATCGTCGTCCGGAATGAATACGCTGATGCCTTTCTGTCTTTCGTGTTGCTCGTTTGTGCCAGGTCGTTTCGCTTCGGAATAAGGACCGTTTCAAGGAGGAGGAGGTTGGGGTTGTCACCATCCCCCTCCAGGATGTCGTGAAATCTCCCCCGCAGTACTTCCGCTGCAGGGATACCGGCAAGGTGTGTCAGTGCCGATATATTGATTATGCTGGTTCTCGCCTACCGTACAGAATGGTGGCGCCCATGGCAATTCTCGAATGAAATCTTCAACCTGTCATGGTGTCGGTATTTTCCGTTGGCAACACCCGCTGCAAGACTCCTATTTCGCAGTGGTACTTGTCAGCACCCGTTGGACATCTGGTCCCTCGCATTCCCTCCTGCCGTTGCTCCCGCTTCCGCTGCTGTTGCTGCTGTTGCTGCTACTGCGATAATCACAACGCTCGACTCGTAACTCCGTGAGGCTGTTGCCATCTTGCTGCTCCGGAATACGGCAGACTTTCACGTCCATGGCCGGCTTCAAAGCGCACCTCAAGTCCCGGCAAAGGGCGGGCGTCACCACACCCGGGGATGCCTCTCGATCATCTCCTGTGGAGGTCAAGGTCTTGGACCGATACCTGTCTGTGGCGAGCGTCAACATCGAGCGCGATAATGAGGACCAAGTGGCGACATCGGCGCCGCCGTCTGCCCTGCCATCACGGCTGTGCTCCCTTCGTGTGATCCTCCTCCTGGAAGACATGGGGCCTACTGGTGACCCCGATGATCAGGTCAGGGCCGCCGCATGGCTTCATAAAAGAGGGGAGGAGTCGCCACCGTGTTCCGTATCATATGAGCCCCCCTCCACCCTGATCCAAGGTCAATGGTCTAACGACTACGGCATCCACGACTATGAGTACACCCCCCCCCCC